CCTCCCCATCTCATTTTGTTCCACCTCGTTTCATCCCAATGCCATCCCATCCCAAATCAATCCCTAGTCCTCCCATCCCAATTCTGTTCCATCCATCCATCATATCCCATCCCATCCTGTCCCATCCTGTCCCCTGGCGGGTCCCGCTCACAGCAGACGCGCAAGGTGACAGCGGGGGACACGCTGGTCCCCGCGGAGCCCCGGGCCCGGCAGTGGTAGAGCCCGGTGGCAGCGCTGGTGGCAGGGGACAGCACGAGGACGCTGTCGGGACCCTCCTGGAGCCACTTGCTGTCCTTGTACCAGGAGTAGACGGTGTCACCCGGTGGCTCTCCGGCCACCTGGCACATCAGGGACACGTTGTCACCTTCCAGCACCTCCGAGGACGGTGAGATCAGGACTCGGGCGGCTGGAGTGGGGACAGCGCCAGCTCAGAGGGGACAGGGCAGAGCTCGGCACTGCCGGTGTCCCCTTGTCACTTCCGTGACCTGTGGGGTGCGATATTCCCACTCTGTCCAAGGATTTGGGACAGCTCCGATGCAATATTGGGGCTCCCTGTCCCCTTAGGGTGTCCCCAGCTCCTCCTGGAGATGCCCAGGGCTGAGGTGTTGGAATATGGGCAGGGGGTGGCACTGGGGGGGACCTGGTGGCACTGGGAGTGCAGACGTGGTCATTCCCATGGGAAAGGACGCTCCGATCCCTGAGTGGGATCTGGTGGCCTTGGGAGGGATCTGGTGGCACTGGGAGCATGGACACGGTGTCATTCCCATGGGATGGGCTGCTCTCTGATCCCTAGGAGGAATCTGGTGGCACTGGGAGCACAGACACGTGGTCATTCCCATGGGAAGGGACGCTCCGATCCCTGGGAGGGATCTGGTGACCTTGGGAGGGATCTGGTGGCACTGGGATAGGTCTGGTGGCACTGGGAGCACAGACACGTGGTCATTCCCATGGGAAGGGACGCTCCGATCCCTAGAAGGGATCTGGTGGCACTGGGAGCACAGACATGTGGTCATTCCCATGGGATGGGCTGCTCTGATCCCTGGGTGGGATCTGGTGGCCTTGGGATTGCAGACACAGTGTCATTCCCATGGGATGGGTTGCTCTGATCTGTGGGTGGGATCTGGTGGCACTGGGAGGGATCTGGTGGCATTGGGAGCACAGACACGTGGTCATTCCCACGGGAAGGGACGCTCTGATCCCTAGAAGGCATCTGGTGGCACTGGGAGCACAGACACGTGGTCATTCCCATGGGATGGACCGCTCGGATCCCCGAATCCCGGTCTCCCCACCTTGCACGCGCAGGTAGAGCCGTCGCTCCGCGGAGCCGTGCGCGTTGGCGGCCGTGCACCGGTAGCTGCCGTCGTCGGCTGGCGTCACCTCCCGCATCTCCACCCGCAGCGAGTTGGGGACAGCGGAGACGCTGACCCGCGGGCTGCTCCCGCCGGCGCTGGTGGCCACCAGCTCCTGGTCGCGGAGCAGGGCCAGCCGGGCCGGGGGGTTGCTGGCCACGGAGCACTGGAAGATGGCCAGGGAGCCCTGCTCGGCCTCCAGGAAAGCCGCCAGGAGAGGGTCCCGAGGGGGGTCTGTGGGGGGAATGGGGTGAGAGGCCGGGAACCCCACCGGGAGAGGGGTCCTGGGGAGGGGTCACTGCTCTGGGGG